TTAACCAGCCAAAAGGCCAGCCAGCTTTAACCAGCCAAAAGGCCAGCCGCTGGGCCAGCCTTGGCGGCCAGCTTTGGCCGGCGTTTGGCCAGCCAGCTTTAACCAGCCAAAAGGCCAGCCAGCTTTGGCCAGCCAGCTTTGGCCAGCCAGCTTTGGCCAGCCAGCTTTGGCCAGCCAGCTTTGGCCAGCCAGCTTTGGCCTTTTCAAAGACTAAAGAACGATTTAGTACAAAAAGAGTTTAAAGTTCAACTCATGTAAACATACGTGCAAAAGTAAAAAAAGTAGACTTCAGGGAGGCTCTTTTGCACAAAAAGGATATGGAAAATCTGATTTGAGTGCTCTTTTCAAAAAATCGGGTGAAAAAAGAAAAATCACCTGTCTCTTGAGGCTTTTTTTGCTTTATTTTCACACATGATGAACAGCCAAGATAAATTTCTTAAAGATCTACCATTGCATTTTCTAAAACTTGTCCCAGACTGTAATCTTGGCTCTATTCTATCCACTTTCTCGATTACTGTAATCTTGGCCCTATTTTATTCAATCTATCCAATCTAGTTACAGTTGAATTTTTAGATAAATTGAATTGTAGATAAATTGACTTAATAAATATTAATAAATAATTGATAAATAAACTGCTAAAGGGTATTTGAATGTAGGGTATTTGAATTTTTAGCTTAAATACTTGCTACTACGCTTGCTACTAGGCTTGCTACTACGCTTGCTACTACGCTTGCTACTATGCTTGCTACTACGCTTGCTACTATGCTTGCTACTACGCTTGCTACTACGCTTGCTACTACGCTTGCTACTAGGCTTGATACTAGGCTTGCTACTACGCTTGCTACTACGCTTGCTACTATGCTTGCTACTACGCTTGCTACTACGCTTGCTACTATGCTTGCTTGCTACTAAACGCTATTCACTTTCTCGACCACCGTAATCCTGTCTCTATTTTTATTCAATCTATCAATTGCTACTACGCTTGCTACTTAAATACTTAAATCAAATAATCCACAGAATCCATTTTCTAAAACGTATCCCCTTTCTCGACTAAAGTGAATAGATTGAATAAAAATAGAGACAAGAGTACGATAGAGACAAAATTAAAAATAGAGACAAGATTAGAAAGTGAATACTTTTTAGGAAAAGATCAATGAATTGATCGATCTTTACAATTAATCTTTACAATTCCTTCATAAAATTCTTTTCTTTCATCGCTCCAATTCGATAGCTTATTTTGACGCAAATAGAAATAAGAAAAATTTGATTTCCACGGGATCGCCGATTTAGTGAAAAACGAGGAAGTAACTGTGTTTTTGACGAAAAAAGGAAAGATTCTGTGAAGTTTTTCGAAATTAGAACATTTCTATTTCTATTTCTATTTCGAAATGAATGAAAAGCTGAAGAATTGATTGATTGATTGGATTGATTGATTGACTGATTGATCGATTTCCGATGATTGATTGATTGATTGATTGATTGGATTGACTGATTCATTCATTCATTCATGTAGATTCTAATAAAAGTGACCGTGAGTTGATTTCAACTTTACATCTTGAGTTATAGACCATTTAAGTGGATCGACCCCTTCAGGTAGGTCGTCTGACTTTGAGTGAAATTTTCTCGATGTTTTTACACTAGTGTGTACTAAATAAATTGTGGTTTTCTATAACGAAATTTCATAAGGAACATTTTAAAACCAACCACAAGTTGATCGGTCAACTGGAAGTTGAGATATGGAGGAAAAGAGAAGAGTCGTTTCGCATTCACAGAGCACTCAGCTCGGTTAAGCGAGAAGCTGACAGCTGAGCTGACAACTTGTGAGGAGTGACCAGTCGATCAGTCAGTGATCGACTGATCGACTGATTACTGATAAGTGAAGTTAGAGTGCTCGTCTGAAGTGATCAGTCGATCAGTCGAACGAAAATCGATAACGGAGATGCGTCTTTGTGGATTTATAATCGACAAGTACCCAAAAAGTTGACCGTATTTATCAGAAAAGCTTTTGAACATTGGACAAATCACAGAAAACAGAAACACATGAAATTGTCGAGAGCTGGTGAGAAAAAGTGCCAGACCAAAATGGTTTTTGCTATTCTTTACGCCAATTCGAGGAGAAGCTGAGTGCCAGCTTTTTGTGGTTAATTTTATTATGTAGATTAAATGTAGAAATAAAAGAACTATCTGATGGAGTTTTTCGAGTCAGAACAAATCTGAAAATGCGAAAAAAAGCTCAAAAGAACTCAAAAAAGCTCAACAAGAGTTTAACTGAGCTTTTCTCGGCACGAATTCTGTTTTAATCGATCCGGAACTATGCAAAATGTAGATAATATTATTCTGTATTCAATAAGAATAAGAAACACATGGAAACGTGATGGCGGAGGGGATATTTTTGTCTGTGCCGTCTGTGCTCTCTGTGGCGCTATTTGTACGCGGCACTTTTTCGATCAGCTCCCAACTTTCCATAAAATCTCAATTTCTAGTCATAAAATAAAATAAAATAGACAAAAGATTAAAAAATGACATTAAACATAAAGTTTAGTACATTAAACACAAAGTTTAGCCATTAAATAAAGTTTAAACATTAAAACACAAAGTTTAGCCATTAAAACACAAATTTTAGCCATTAAACACAAAGTTTAGCCATTAAACACAAAGTTTAGCCATTAACATTAGACATTAAACATTAATAATCAAATTTTCTTTGAAGAATCGGACAAAGGCAGTTTGTACAAAAGTAAATGGAAAAGAAAGAAGGAAATGGACAAGAAAAATGGACAAAATAAGGAAAATAAACATTGAAAAATGTTTTAGAGATTGATTTGTCTTTTGGGAATTGTAGAGAAAAGCGGTGACAAGAGACAAGAGATTTCAGTTATTTTTGAGTTATTTTTGAGCTATTTTTGAGCTATTTTTGAAGCTTAAGATCTAGTCTAGATACTGATCAGTATCTAGACTTTAATGGGTTAACGATAATCGAATTACACAGTATTTTGAGTGGATAGTCTCCACAGATTTGGATCCCTATCTCAACAAATTTGGTTCCCTATCTCTACAAATTTGGTGCCATATCTCAACCAATTGAGCTCCCTATCTCTACAAATTTGTCGTCTACCGTCGTCTACCGTTTCATTGATGTTTTAGTGAGAATTCTAAAGGTAAACTAACTAAGCTACGATTCAATGATAAACTAAAACTTTTCTAGTGATTCGATAGTTGAAATCAATAGCTGAATCCTCTTGAAAACTTGAATAAAGCTACTAAAAGCTTTTTGTAAAAGAAAGAGTACATTGATCAATTAAATTAACATAAAATTATTATTTCACATAGTTTAAGTTTAGCTATTTTTATTGTAAATTAGTTTATAAGTATTCCTTGAACATCTTTAACCCTTAAACTACATATAATTACCGTATTTTCTCTAATAGTAGTGCACCCTGAGCGTCACCTAAATTCCTCGAAATCTCGAGAACAGCTTATCAGAACCTATCGATGTGAGGTCGGAAAATGGAGCTGACGATGAGATCTAGTGGGGGATTTGGGTGTTGAGCTTCTAGGAAAGCTTAGGAACTGTAAAATAGTCATCAACTCGGCTGGCTGCGGTGCAATACTATTAGAGAAAATACGGTATGCTAATTTGACTTGTTTGTTGGAGTAGAACAGAATAAAGAAGAAAATAAAGAAGGAAATAAAGAAGAAAATCCTTAAAATCCTTATCTCTTGTCACCGTTTTCTCTATTTCATTTGATACAAAATGAGCAACAACTCAGCGTTCATAAATCTTAAACATTAAAAAAGCACACTTATTGCTTGAAAGTACCATAACAAAAAAGACAAAAAAGACAAAAAGACAAAAATGACATGAAATAGACAAAGAAAAACTCGTTTACGGACATTCGATGATCGACTAAAACATAGAAGACACAATCTAAATTGGAAAAATTATTGATTAATTAATTATTGAAAGAAAATTATAAGAGAAATTTTCTAAAAATTTGAAGTTGATCCTGAGGGAGATCCTTTTTGATGCTTTTTTCGTTGTCATGGAAAAGAGGGAAACTGAGAAGGTAAACGAAGGAAAGGTAATCACTTTCACTCGGGAAACGATTTAAAAATGATGGGAATTTGGTTAGCAATTTTTGAGAAAAGATTTCCTTTCTGAAAATGCTTCTGAAAATGTGCCTTGAAAGCGATTTGTTCAAAGAAATCCCTGAAAATTCGATCTGTACTTTGTGCTAACCGGTAAACGCACACTTTCTGGTGCACTGATTATGAAAATCTCCTGCGCTAGGAAGGCTGTGTTTATTGGTGAGCACAAAGTTCAGACACAATCTTTTCCTTGAAAGTTTGTGGCTAGAACTGTAAACGCACGCTTTCTGGCACACGGCGAACTGGTGAACGATCAAGTGTGCTAGAAAGATTGTGTTTCTATTTCTAAAGCACAAAGTAGACTTCCCAGAAAGAGTCCCTGTAAGACAGAGAAATTTGTGTACTTTGTGCTAACCAGTAAACGTGCGCTTTCTAGTGCACAGGATTCTCTATTTTTCTGGTAGACAGCAACAAGTAACAAGAAAAATCAGGAATTCAATGCACTAGAAAGGCTGCGTTTACCGGTGAGCACAAAGTACACTTGAGATCAAATGAAGGCTGAGGTTTGGTTTTGATTCTTAATACTTTTTAAAGTACACTTAAAACTACTGTACTTAGACTACGGTATTCTAGAGGACTTGTAAACGCACGCTTTCTGGCACACGGCGAGCTGGTGAACGATCAAGTGTGCTAGAAAGATTGTGTTTCTATTTCTAAAGCACAAAGTACACTTCTAAAAGACTACAGTATTCTGGAAGACTACGGTATTCTAGAAGACTACAGTATTCCAGAGGACTACAGTATCCCAGAAGTCTACGGTATTCTAGAAGACTACAGTATTCCAGAGGACTACAGTATCCCAGAGGACTACGGTATTCCAGATTCTTCAATAAACCCCTACCCACTTTTCACATCATTCCAGCTTTCTGTAGATTCTTCTGAATGATGGTGTCGATGACACTCGAAATCACGAGTTGAACCTGGAGTTTTTTTTGATGTGAGAGTTGCTAAAATTTCACATGAAACTCAACCTGATTTGTATCCGTGGCACACGTCTCATGCATATAGATATTTTTCTTATCCGGATTCATGTTCAACTCAGCGAATTTCATCTTTATATAGTTCACAGCTTCCTCGTAGTTTTGACCACCTGAATTTGAATTGTGTTTGAATTCAAACTGTTGACTACTTGTATTGGGTAGAAAAATTGTGGTCCAAAAAAAGCCACCGGATAAGGAAGGTAAGTAAAGATTGATTGATTGATTGATCCAGATTGATTTGTAATTTTAGAAAGCTCAATATTTTCTCTTTGAACTTTGAAATTCGGCTTTGCCAGGCCAATTTTAGTGTGTTTATTTGAAAATTTCATTGGCTTTCTAAAAGAAAGCTTCTTTGGAACTTTGGCTTCTTAAAAGCTTCTTAAAATTCCTTTTATTATTCTTAAAAAGAGAAAATATTGAGTTTTCTAAAGCTTTCTAAAAATCAATCAATCAATACTAATCAATCTGGATTATCTTTACTTATCGTCGTTATCTCATGGCTTTTTTAGATCCACAGTTTCTTTTGCAGGTTCTTTTTTAATAGCTTCAGGGTTTCTCAAAAGTTTTGAAATTTTTCAAAATTGGTTTATTTTTGTGTTATTTATACTTTTCTTGCATTTGAATTTATTTTTAATTAAAAAAAACTAGCTAAAGTTTTTTGTTAGTCTTGAAAGATGATCCAAAGAGCAAGAAGAGAACAAGAGAACAAGAGAGCCGTAATCTTTGAGCTACACAAGCAGGGAAAGAGTATGGAGAGTAAAGAGCATTGTTCAAACGTCAAATTCGTCCGATTACATCAAATCTATTGTTTGAAAAGCCAAACAAGGTATTGGGACGACTTTGTCACGAATTTTCGATCCTTATCATCATAAGGACGGAAAATTCGTGACAAAGTCGATAAGGACAAAGTCCGTTACCGTATTCGCCCAAATCTCACATGGGAAATGGGAAAATCAGCAAGAATAGTGTTTGGAGAATTGTCCATAAGAAGCTTTAGAATTAGAATACGCATATGCTCAGAATACGCAGCTACAAATTCAACCGGATACACTTTTTGAATGTGAAAAAAGAGGCTCCAATGCCGGAAGATGATTTCATTGTTCGCAAATGGTCGCTTGTGGAAAAGTTGTGTTTATCAATCAGAAGATTTTCACCCTCCAATTGATCCACAATCACCAAAACCATCGCCAACTTCTTAAGCGAGATCTCAAGAACACTTTTGCGGCAAAACTGATGGTACGGCATATCTCCATCATCTCCATATCTCCATCATCACTACATCTCCCTGCTTCCGTAATGGCTCAATCACGTGGGCCGCTCAATCACGTGGGCTCAATTGATTGAAACGTGATGATCAACGCAGGAAACTATCAACAAATAGTCTTGAAAGATTTCTTAGAATTGTGAGCAGCAAATCACTTTGAACATGGTGGCTTTACCCTTGAACAGGGCGATTTTAAAATCCAGCTAATGAAGCTCGATCAACACTCGCTCTTTGCAATCAAGTTTTTCTGGACTTTTGAGAAAAAGACGCCTGGCTTTCGGATACCTTCAGACGATTTGAACCCGTTAGTTATGGTCAATTCTGGAAGAACTGTAAGTACAGTAAAAAGAACTGTAAGTACAGTAATCCAGTAAAAAGCTAGTCCATCTAGTCGAAGAGTACTGTAATTATAGTAGAAAATGAAAGAAATACAGCGTCTTTCTTTAGAAATACAGTACTTTTCTTCAGCAAAAAACCGTACTTTTCTTTAGAAAGACAGTACTTTTTCCTAGAAAAAAAGTACTTTTCCTTAGAAAAACCGTACTTTTCTTAGAAAAACCGTACTTTTCCTTAGAAAAACCGTACTTTTCTTCAGAAAAACAGTACTTTTCCTTAGAAAAACAGTACTTTTTTTAGAAAAACAGTACTTTTCTTTAGGAGAACAGTACTTTTCTTTAGGAAAACAGTACTTTTCCTTAGAAAAACAGTACTTTTTTTAGAAAAACAGTACTTTTCTTTAGGAGAACAGTACTTTTCTTAGAAATACAGTACTTTTCTTAGAAATACAGTACCATTCTTCAGAATCTCCTATCTAAAAGAAATCACTTTTCACTTTTCACCTTCATAGTCCGGAAAAGCGCTCGTAATATTAACACGTTTGATTTTCTCGGAGAACAAATCTTTTTTGTTCAAGAAAAGGATCATCGCCGTGTTGAGAAACCATGTCGAGTTACAAATCGAATTAAACAATTGCATTGATTCGATCATTCGATTCTAAAAGACGAATATCTTGATTGATTTAAATTTAAATTCATTCATTCATTCATTCATTCATTCATTCATTCATTCATTCATTCATTACCGTATTCTCATCCTCAAACAAGACTTGATCGTACTCGGAAATTGCAGTAATGAAGATAATCGCCTCAACATTATCAAAGCAATGAATCCATTTCCTTCTCTCCGATCGTTGTCCACCCACGTCGAACACTCTGAAATTATTCTTTTGCAGAGCTTGTCCCTTTGAAATCAGTTGGTTTCTAAGCTTAGCTCTGTAAGCTCTCTTTGTAAGATTGCAACCAGTTACAATCCGTAATCAAAAGCCTCCTTTCCCTTGTTGATCGCAAAAATTCACGCTCGGTTACGTTTTGATTTCTCTTTTTTTTCTTTTTTTTTGTCAGCGGCTTTCCCTCCAACCAATTACATCAATAGAATCGAGGCTTGTCGGGTAATTAGATGAGAAAAAAAGAAGAAAAAAAACGTGGAGAGAAGAAAATTCAATAGCGTCGAAGATTGTAAAGAGTGGATAAACAATGGGAAATTTCTGGAAAAGGGAAAAGACTTTGCTCATAGAGATTAGGTCTTGCTGGTCAAAAATTGATCATTTAATAGCAGAAAATTGTGAAGCAAAAGTATAAAAGGCTGTAATTTCGTGAGTTTAATTACCCAAGTGTTGTGCGTACCTTTCATGTCGCTCAGAGGAAAAAGAGGCATCTAGCACACGATCCTTGGATAAGGGTAGCCGAAAAGCCGACAGAGTCCCAAAAGCGATCTGGCACACGGCCAATACTATTGGGAGCGGCAGCCGGTTTAATTACCCAAGCTTTGTGCGTACCTTTGATGTCGCTCAGAGAAAAAAAGCGGCATCTGGCGCACGGTCCCAAGATACGCAGGCCGAAAAGCCGGTCTACCGGGTTAATTACCCAAGCTTTGTGCGTACCTTTCACGTTGCTCGTTAGAAAAAGCGGCATCTGGCACACGATCCTTGGATAGGGGTAGCCGAAAAGCCGGCGGTTTAATTACCCAAGCTTTGTCCGTACCTTTCATATCGCTCAGAGCAAAAAGCGGCTTCTGGCACACGGTCCCAAGATAGCCAGGCCAAAAAGGCGGCACACCGGTTTAATTACCCAAGTTTCGCGCGCGCGATTATGATCAAGTCACAAAGGAAAATTATGAGTCAAAATCTGTCAAAGCTCAAGAAAAGCTCATAAACAATTGTCCAAAAACATTTCAAAATCAAAATTCAAAACGAAAAGCAATGATTTTCCCAGTAAGAATACAAAAATAATTCAATTTTGACGTCAAAAATTTAGAGCTTTTGGAATTTCGCCGTTTGGATAACATTTTGTGGAAACATTTCTTTTACCCACGTGTTTCAGTTTCGAGATAGTTCAAAGTGATTTGAAAATTCGATGAAACACCTTGGAAAAATGGTGAGATTACTCAGATTTGCCTTTAGCTTTCGGGGAAGTTTGTTTGGTTAAAGAAGACCCTTACTATAACTATAATAGATAAATTGGAGATAAAAATAAAGGCAGGCAGTCTAAAAAGTGTGTACATTTTCGAAAACGATTTGTTTACGCACCGAAAATCGAGATCCTTGATCTTGAACTTGACTTCAACGACTCCCGTTGTGGCGGCTCTCGAGAAAAGGATATCCTGTTCGCTGGGTCGATAGCCAGCCTCGGAGATTCGGATCACATTGTCAAGGAAACTTCAAATGAATGAAATAATTTCGAAACTAATAATAATATTAATAAACAAGCAGGAAACCAGGGTAAGTTTGGGTTTGAGAGTCGAGCTCGGTGGTTATTTCTATTTCTAGCTCTTTAAAAAGAGCCTTTAGTCAAAACAATGATCCTTGACTGGAGACGGATTCGAACTCCTGACCCCTCACACCCGGTGCGAGCTTGCTAACCACTCGGCCATCTGGCCCATAATGATCTAATCAGAAAAGTCTGTTATGAGTCAGAAAGGCACTGGGTAAAGCTTCAGCACGAAACTCACTATTTTGCTGAATCCGTCAATTGGTACTCGGCTCTCATTTCGTAGCCTTTTTTCACTCCCGGATCGTCCCATAGTCTCTAGAAATGCTCAGTAATATAGCGATTTAAATAGCAATTTAAATAGCAATTTAAATAGCAATTTAAATAGCGATACTTGCAACGCTTGAGCCAATTCTAGTGTGATCGGCTCGGCTTCTTGACCCATCTCTTGCACTTTGTAGACCATCGATTTGTCATCCTGAAATACGAAGATCAAGAGATCAGTGTAGAAAGAAAGCCAGCCACAAATGCCAGAACAGAGTCAGGATTCGAGCCCACAATCTCTTGCCTACTAGGCAAATGCTCTAGCAACGAGCTACATCGACAGGTTTCTCAGGTTTTTTGCTCAGAGCTACATCGACAGGTTTCTCTTTGCCGTCAGGATAGAGTCAGTCTTGCAAAGTTAATGGAAAGTTTGGAAAATTTCTCATTTCATGACTCTTTTCAATAAAAGGAATCAGCTACACGATTTTTCGAAATTTTCAAGGTTCTGAATTCAATAACATCTTGATTTTTTCCCCCATTTCCCTCACTTCTCTAATCGGATCGATTTGCAGCTTCAAAATCGTATCCATTGCTTTCAAAATCGTGCACATTGAGGAAACAGTGTTGCCAAAAATGATCGCTTTTTCTCATTGATTTCATCCTCTGTGAAACCGTTGCTATGTAAGATTCTGAAGGGTTTTGTCATGATTTTTTTGATTATTTTCAATCTCTTACTGCATTTGTTTGAGAACTGTCGACTTTCCACATTCTCCAGCTCCTAAAAAATTGAAATATTAAAGATTAAAGATAAACAAATAATTCTATAAGCTCTAAGATTCTATAAAGAACTTTTAGACAAAAACTACCGTAATCGAACGAAATTTTAGCCGAATCTTTATTAACTGATCGCTAAATATTGCAAAAATTTGATGAATTTAATAAAATGACGGCAAGATTACGGTATTTTGTCTAAAATTAGTAAATTTTCAGTGAAACAGGCCTTAACTAGGGCTTAACTAGGGCTTAAATAAGCCTTAAATAGGCCTTAAAGAGGCCATAAAGAGGCCTTAAATAGGTCTTAAATAGGCTAAAGGTAGAGGTAGAGGACAATGAAATATCATATTTGAAAAACGATCGTCGAAAAACTTTCGCGCGTCTGTTACTCCCTTGTCTTTGAGTTTGTCTTTGAGTTTGTCTTTGAGCTTAAACTATTAGTGTTATACATTTTTTGAAAGCTCTTTTCAAGGGCTACACAATGGTAATATTAATATTTAGAAATACGGTAAAGACAATGGAGTTAGAGACGCGCGAAAGTGACGATCTCTGTCTAAAGTGACGAATTTTTCAAATATGATATTTCATTGTCCATTAGTGTACGTAGAAGACTGTAAAATGCGAAAAAGAATGCGAAAATGCCCGATTTTTCACTCTAAACCTTATCAAATATATCAATATATCAAATCTCACCTAACAACAAGAGCTTTATCATGTTCGCTTTGGCTTTCTTATCCGCGTTCAATTGCCTCTCGATTTCTCGACTCCTCTGCGCCATTTCTTTGCCCTCTTTACTCCCGCAACCGCCCATTTCTAGAAATTTAAAACAAATTTTAAATAAAACACTTGCATTTTATTCTAAGCATTACAAGAAAAAAAGTTTTCTTGTAAAACTTTACGAAAAGTTTTTTTTAATTAACTTCTTTCTTGTTATCGGTCGATTTTTATGTGATTTCCCGGAGAAACATCGAAATTCAATTTCTCTGCTTAAGATTTAACAATTTTCCCCGATTACAACAAAAATCTAATCGAATAAAGCGAAAAGAAAAAGGGTTTTTTTGCAAATTTACCTGCTAGAGAGATTGAAGAAATTGAAAAGAAGAAATCGAAAATTTGAGCGAAAAAAAAGCCGTTTCCTATTCGTGAATGATGATCATAACAATGAAAGAATTGCTGATTTTGATCTGAAAATGGTTAAAAAACAATTTGAGGATAAAAAAGGAGAAAGAAAAACGAGTATGAATGATGATGATGATTGATGAATCTATCAATAAAAGTTTCAGTTTTTAGAAAAGAAAGTAGAAAAGAAAAGAAAGTAGAATAGAAAGTAGAAAAGAAACTAGAAGAGAAACTAGAAGAGAAACTAGAAAAGAAACTAGAAGAGAAACTAGAAGAGAAACTAGAAAAGAAAGTAGAAGAGAAACTAGAAAAGAAAGTAGAAGAGAAAGTAGAAGAGAAACTAGAAGAGAAAGTAGAAGAGAAAGTAGAAAAGGAACTAGAAGAGAAAGTAAAAGAGAAACTAGAAAAGAAACTTTTTTTAGAAAAGAAACTAATTTCAGCTTAATGTACGTCAAAGAAGCGGAAAAACAGGTGAATTTCTTGTTCCCGAACAATTTTTTGATCACATTTTTGACATAAATTTTTCTTTAAGATTCATAAAGTAGAAAAATTTCTAGGAAAAGGCTTGAGAGTTAAATGCCAAAAATTCTAATTGCGTAATTAAACCGTAGACAAACTGTGTGCCAAAAGGCATGCGTTTACGTGGCCGCACAAAGAACAAACAAAGATTGAGGCAGGCTTGGCAAAAATTGGCAAAAATTTTAGCTGATCTTTTGGGTAAAAGATTGAGCATATGATCTAATAGTAATCTAATAGTAATCTAATAGTAATCTAAGAGTAATCTAATAGTAATCTAATAGTAATCTAATAGTAATCTAATAGTAATCTAATAGTAATCTAAGAGTAATCTAATAGTAATCTAATAGTAATCTAATAGTAATCTAATCGAAATCTAATCGAAATCTAATAGAAATAGTAAACAAGTAACTAGTAACAGTAATAGTAAACATTTAGGATCTAATAGTGGACTAGTAATTACTGTTGTATGATGGCTTGGACATTGATCCAATACAGCTCAAAATTTACGAAATTTTCAACAAAACATCCAATCTTTTCCCAACTTTCATCAAATTCGCACGGGAAAATGGGCAAAAAAGCGGACGATTGGGTAAAGAATAGCGATTTTTGCAAGGAGAAAATCCTGGGGAAAACTGGGTGATTTTGTGGGAAATAACTCGTAGTAATTGAAAATGAATGGGAAAAGTGGGGGTTGGATTTGAATTTGAAAACGGGTTGGTTATGGTTTAACTTTTATGATTAAAACATTCGAACTTCCTGGAGACGTGTGCCAGATGCCGCTTTTTCCTACGAGCGACATGAAAGGTTCGCACAAAGCTTGGGTAATTAAACCGGCGTGTCCGCTTTTCGGCGATCCTTATCCTGGAGCCGTGTGCCAGATGCCGCTTTTCCCTCTGAGCGACATAAAAGGTACGCATAAAGCTTGGGTAATTAAACCGGCCTGTCGGCTTTTCGGACTGCCTATCCTGGAGCCGTGTGCCAGATGCCGCTTTCTCCTCTGAGCGACATAAAAGGTACGCATAAAGCTTGGGTAATTAAACCGGCCTGTCGGCTTTTCGGACTGCCTATCCTGGAGCCGTGTGCCAGATGCCGCTTTCTCCTCTGAGCGACATAAAAGGTACGCATAAAGCTTGGGTAATTAAACCGGCCTGTCGGCTTTTCGGACTGCCTATCCTGGAGCCGTGTGCCAGATGCCGCTTTTTCCTACGAGCGACATGAAAGGTACGCACAACACCTCGGTAATTAAACTTACTGTGAAATGTTGGTCTTTCGAGCGTGTACAGTAGCGTAGTCGTTAACTGCTTGAGAGATGATGTACTTTGTGCTCGATATTTGGAAACGCACCCTTCCTAGCGTACTTTTGTCATTTTTCTTTTCAACAAGATACTGTCGTTTTTCAAATAGAAATCTTCAGGATTCGATTTTGTAAGCTTCGCACAGTAATTCTTTTTCGCTTCTTGATCACTTACAGTGCAATTTCTCCTCAAAATGCTTTTCCTCGCTTTAAAACAAACAAAATACAGCGTTTTTAGTGTCAAAATGACCGTAAAAAGATGATTTGGGGGTAAATTAAAGAAATATATTGATATGATCAATCAAAAGCCTCGCAAAGAAACATTCGCATAGTAAAATCGAAAATTTCTAACCTAAAAAACCTGTGTTTTTAAAATGATGTTAATTTTTTGAATCAGAACATTTTACTGAGTTAAATAAACTATCAAAAAGAAAAAAAATGTGTCAGAGAATGCATTTTCGCAAATGTCGAAGTTATTAGAGCTGTAGATTTTTACAGTATGGCCACATTTATCCTAGCACATAAAAGCTCACGAGCTAACCAGCTAACCAGCTAACCAATCGCTTGAAGGATAGCACTTGAGATTTCAGGAGCTAGCTGATTTCACCGCCTGGTTAAGAGCACCCCGAAAATGCTTTCAAATTCTACTTATCATAAGCCATTTTTGAGGTATAAACCTTCAAAGTTTCAGCCAATTTCGCCAAACAACAAGCTAGCTTATTTAAGGCCTATTTAAGCCCTATTTAAGCCCTATTTAAGGCAATCGATCTGCCTCGGTAGCCTAGTGGTTAGTATCTTAGCGCGTCGGATTTTTTGCCCCCGTCTTGGATCTACTCTCGATCAGATTGCCGATTAAATAAAGTTTTGTCGAGCAAAAGAAGAGATCGATAAGATTTCAACGTATAAAACAAAGAAAAAAAACAAGGGAATTCGTTTGATTTGGTCGGTGAAATAAAATTGTAAGTGCCAGGTGGTTTGAGAAGAAGGAGAGGCTGAAGAAGAAGAGGCTGAAGAAGGAGAGGCTGAAGGAAAAAGGGAGAAAGGCCTTAACCTGGCCACGGTGGGGTCTATAATTTTCGCAAAAACGGGATTTCTCTCCTTAATAATTTCAGCTTTTCGAAGTTCATTGAAAGATTGATAATTGGAGTAGTTATGGGATTGAATGTAGCCATTTTGCAGCGATGGAAATCTACCAAAAAAAAAGTAATTTTGTACGTTTGCTGAATGAATTTGCCTTTATTCTGGTTTACAGTTAAAACTACTTACACTACTTACAACTTACAGTTAACTGGAGTCCACAATGACTTACAGTTAACTGGAGTCCACATAAATGTGATTAAATGTGATTAAAGCGTTTAATGCTTGGGTAATTGAACCGAACGACAACTGGTGGTGCGCCAAAAGATGTGTTTATGCACAAAGAACAGAGAGCACAAAGAACAGAGAAAGAGCTCAAGAATGAAGTATCGACCATTTTCGAAAAATCTTCCTCTAGCCAATAAGATCGTGTCACAAGTGAGGGGTCGAGAAGCAGCGGTGGCCTAGTGGTTAGTGCCCTGGATTAGGGAACCGATTCCAGCTCTTGCGACGGGTTCAATTCCGTCCAATGTAACATTTTTCGTTTTTCCGTTTTTTCCCCCTAAACAGACAACTTTTAAAGCTATTACAGTTATCGAAATTAAGAAAAACTATTAGTCTTTTAAGGCTCTTTCAAAGCACAAAGATCAGTCTCAAAGACAATCTTTATTGTATAACATTGACGTAACATTCTTTACTCCGTTCCTCCGACAACCACAACAAAAAGCCTAAAAAGCTCCGAGATTTACCAATCTGATTATTCTTATATTACTTGTAGTTGTTATTGTTTCGAAATGTGTCACAGATATTCTGAAGGGGAAAGGTTTAGAAAGGGGGGATGGGAAAGCGGGAGATCTGGCGGTGATGGGGTGAGTCTCCCGGGAGACCGTCCCCCACATCTCAATTTCTTTTCCCCATTCTTTCATTTTCTTCAATTCCCCATTTTCTGTCATAACACGTGTGCCCTTTTCTTCAAATTACAACATAAAAAGTGAGAAAGGAAAAAAAAAGAAGGGATCTGTAGGAAATTTGGGTTTACGGAGACAAGGATGAGCTAGTTTAGCGCTGAAAAAACTTATGTAACTTAAAAATGACCGTAAACTGGGTATGCTAATAGGCAATATACTAAAATATCGATATGAATTGGATCGAGATGTTGGAAAACGAAATTTCATGACCAGATCCATCCAGGCTATCGTAAGCGTAAACTATCAAGCTATCGTAACTCAGTTCTGGCACAGAAAGCCCTAAGCAACTTGGAAACTAACGTAGTTCCGGAGTAATGTAGATTGGAGTAATAAAATCAAGTCAATCTCATCGGTTTACAAGTTTTCTATGAGTAAGTGTTCAAAGGGATGGAAATGGAAATATTGAATGCCTAAAAAGTATTATTGTTTTTTAATCGCTCACAACTTTTCGTAAAATTGCTTTAATAAAAATTTATGAAAGAAAAGTATGTAAAAATATCCAAAAAGCATAAATTATAATAGATTTTCAAAATTCCCTTCTTTAGCTATCACACAGACCATCAAACGGGGAACTGCTGAATCGGTGACCCGAAATGACATCAAGATTGACCCAGGTAATCAGTTCCTTCTTAAGTTCAACGAGATTTGTGATTTCCTCACTCTTCAGACTTTCCTCTAAATAGCTCCATATTGAAAAATCCAACGGATTAAGATCCGGCGAGTTGCTGGACGATTCTTTCTTTTGAGAGGGCAATTTGTATCTCATCAGATCTATTATTGATTTGGCTTGGTGCCCAGTCTTACTGAAAGAGCATCTGACGGTTTTCTCGCTTCAATGGAATCACAACTTTATTGTGAACCTCATTTTGATAGACTTCGGCGTTGTTTTTGACATTTTTGTCGTTAAAAACGGGTGGCGTCTTTCCTTTCCCGTCTTTCCTTTCCCCAAACTATCAATCCTTTTAGAAAAAGGGTTCTCGTCCTGATTTTTCGTTTCAATGTGTTCCTTTGATTTGGAGGCTTTTGATTGTTGATTTTTTTGATTTGATTCAGTTGACAATAGTTTTGTGGGTTGTGAGCAACTTCAACAGTTTGTCATCAGCCCACAAGACTTCCTCAATGCATGCCGTCTTGAAAAACTGAAGAAGGCTTACTGACGCTTACTGACGCTTGGTGACGCTTGGTGACGCTTGGTGATGCTTGGTGATGCTTGGTGATGCTTGGTGATGCTTGGTGATGCTTGGTGATGCTTGGTGACGCTTGGTGATGCTTGCTTTTCTGAAGTCGACAGACCTTTGATCGGAAAGAAACTGTCTTTTACTTTGCTAGATAACTAGACGATAACTACAGAGTCTGAGTTTTTTTTTCAAAATGTTTTGAACTGATCCTTTGAAACTTTTAGCTTCTTGGCCATCTGATTGATCCTCCTTTCATCATTTCGATCAATGATTGATGATTTTCTGGATGGATGCTTGCCGCGTTTTCGATTTGAGCTGAATTCTTGACCTCCTTGACAGATCCTTTCGTCTTGAGTTGCTTTGCGAGACCTTGAATAGTCCTTTTGTTGATTTTGAGTTTCCTCGATATGGGATCCTTTGACTCTTCAGCTTTCAGAAGTGCGGCAATTGCATCTCGATGAGAACAGAATAGGATTTCTAAAAATTCACGATACATGTTATATACCATTCAAAAGAGAAAGAAAAATTGCAAAAAATAAGTGTATATCATAGAAAACACTCGCTAATTCTATGCGCAAAAAAATGGTGAAAAAAGCACGACAATACTTTTTATCCATCCTGTAGATAGTTAAGTGCTTCAGGAAGGATGCGTTTAGACTTTTTGAGTATAAAGTACAAGCTTGATATGATGTGAGTAAATGTGAAAGTTGTGAAAGTGAAAAGATCGGCGAAAAGGATATTTTGAACAATTCAAGAGAACAAGTGTTTGGATTTGAACTTTGAAACTGAGTAACTTTGAAATCAAACTCTGAAATCGATTAAGCTTGAAATTTGTTGAATATTTTATTTATATTACTTAAAAAAATCTTTCGAATTGTGAAGGGAAAAGGATTTGAAAGAATTGAGGGGAGAAAGAGACGAACCTCCAATTAAGAGGCTATTATTTGTGAAGGTGAGATGAAAAATGAAAATTCAGCTGCTGGATGAGTGAACCAGAAAGGGTGTGTTTACATTTTTTGATTTGAGGGTCAATTGCTCTAATATTTAATCTGCGATACCCAAGAACTAATACATTGTTATCACAATTGAATCGATCTAATGGGAAATTCAATTATAAAACTTATACTAGAATTAAAGTTTTTATCACTCGATCAACTTTCTTTCTGATTTTCTTAATATAAATTCGTTTAGTTCCCTCAAAAAAGGGGATTCGAAGATGAACTTCTGCCGGATATCGGCCGCTTTTGGGGGTTTTAACATAAATGGAACCGATTTTCGGGCAAAGTGTGTTAGAAGAAATAAAAAAAACTTGAGAATTGAATTGAAATAAAAAGAAAAGGCAAAATAGACATTGTTTCGAGCAAGTGATTTCCAAAATTTATCTTCAGATTTCTCTTGGATGAGGGATCAATGAGAATCACTCCGTGCGCCGAATTCGCTCTGTCGTTGGCACATAACAAGATGCTTTGACCCATGAACCACTAAAATAATTAAATATGTAGATACTTCACCAGTGAGGATGTTTAAGTGATTAAATTATCCGAGTCAAGTTGTTGTCTTGTTTTTTCAGTAAGGCTACTGTGGCTTTGTGGCTTTTCTAGATAGAAAATATCAGTACCTTTTAAGACCCCAACCCAGTGATTATTGTAATTAACCATTTATTTTATTTTACCAGAAAGTAATAGATCACATAGTAGTGGAGATTTCACTCCATTGCATAACGAAAATAACTTAGATAGATAAACCTGAAGTAAAATGATGTACCACAACAAATTCTTTCAATTAGCAACTTGGCTCAAATGCGAATAGAACTTTCGGCTTTCTCTCCCTTTCTTTCCTCTTCTTCCTCTCCTTCTTGATCTTCTGCTCGCTTCTTCCGAGCTAAAAACAATTCAGCATAAATTTTTGAATAAATTAAATAAACTTACGGTTGTCAAGGAAGTCAAGCTTTTGGTTGATCATTTTGATGTAGGCTCAAGAGTTTTCACTTTCACAAGGGCATTCTCGTTGGATTTGGTGGCCTCGTTGTTCACTATCCGATCTTTGGCTTCGTCAATATTCTTCCTCAAATCCCATTTGGTGAAATATTGGTCCAAGTCGTGTTTCAACGTTTTCATTTCTTTGGGCTTCGAATCTTGTGAGTGTGAACGTGGTTCATCTTTGAACTCGACCTGGAATTAATAGGTTTTTTAGTTTTTAATCAAAATAAAGGTGGTTTGCGTTATTAGTTGTAAATAAAAATAATTACCCAGAAATCGACAATTTTCAATTCTCGCACCGGACTGGAAAAACGCTGGCTATGCCTCATTTTGAAACCATCGGATAGGCTCTGTCTACCGTAAGTTGATGCCTTTCCCTTGTAAGTTTATGCGGCATATGCAAAAAGATTTGATGACAATGGCGTAGAAAGGAGCCAAGAGAAAGAAAACAAAACCATTTTAGAAATCTAAACAACAAACTATGGGCAAATCATATAAAAAGAAGGGAGGGGAAGGGAGTACTTTCAAAACGCGCTACAAAAACATTCTAGATTTTATGGAGGAGGAAGGAAACTTATGGGCGAGTCGAAATAAAAAGTCGCACAACACCACAAAATGGAGAAAAATTAAAAGAATGGCAAATGGGGAATTTTGTCCGGGGTACCGTAGGACATCCACGCTTTAGAAAGCGCGCCGCACCACTTTCGCGTCAGCCCCTTTAAACCGCACGTAAATACGAACCTAACTACATATTGACTGTAATGACTGTACAGGGAATGTTTCTAAAATACGAATTTTTAGTCATTGGCTAAAAACACAGTACTCTTAAAACGGTTTTTGGCATGATTCTCAAAACAATCTGGTAAATCCATTCTAGCCACAAAAGTAAATCTAACAAAGTAATGTCGAAAATGATGCTCGGATAGTCAAAAATAGCGCAGAAAACCAAATCAACCTTGGACTCGAAAAAGTGTGAATGAAAGCATCTCGACGTAGATCCCTCAAACGATCCGACTTCGATCGACGGCAGAATGGCGAGTCCCTCCCATAAATGCACCGAAGTATCTTAGGATCAAAGCAGCTCTGCTGCGAAACTCACCTAACCGGTACGAGAATCAGGCACTATTCCCTCAATAACGGTTATCCCGTAAAATACCAATCGGGTATTAATCAAATTGCAATAAAAGTAGAAAAGGATGATTGCATACACAGCAAAACACAAAAACTCGAGCTTTTGATCCAGAGTAAATCTAAAAAGAAAAATCCAAATTATAGTTTGGTAATGGAAACTTCGTTGATTTGAAGATAAGCTGGAGAGATTTGTTGCATAGATCCAATCTTTGGGAGAGTCGTCAGTTGTTGTCGTTCGCGATTTCTATGGAGAGATTTGTTGCATAGTTCCGTGGTCAAATCGTTAACGAGAAACAAGTCATGGATATGAAAAAGAAACAAAGAAATTCTTAAAATAATTGCCTTTACTCAAAATCAATACAATAATGTACCTTTTAAATTTTGAAATAGAGCTTATAAGTAATTAAATTGAGTAATTGAATTGAGTATTTGAATTGATTTAAATAGAATGGTTTCACAAAGACAACTTGTATCTAAATGTTTTCGATCAATTGAATGACTACTAAAGCAAATATTTCTAGAAACAATAGCACGATAGTGCTTTTTTAGGCAGTCACTTGGGTAATTAAACCAAAGCAGGTTTTTAGCAACTTATTCTTATCACATTTAAAGGTTTTAAATTTAAATCTAAAGGTTTTAACGGTAAATCGATTAAAGATTTTAAAGTTAAAACGGGTAAAAATTGATTGAAATCGACCAAGCTATTTAGTTTTAGTCAAAAAATAGAAAATAAAAAGTCTATAAAATTCTATATGCAAACTTTAAACAAGACATCAATTTCGAGAAAGATAGGCTGAAAAAAACAAGAAAATCTTTCATAAAATAGCGAAAGAAAAAGGAAATTGAAAGCTAAAGTACGCCAGAACAGATGCGTTTGCATTCTTTGAGTTCTTGAAAACTTTATTCTTTATCATTTCATTTGCTAGCCGCTCTAGATCTATCGATGTTTGAAGTAGATTTTGGACTCTGTTGATAAACACCGGCACCACTTGCAGACGAGATACCGCTCATTCCAACACCTAGAAGCAGATTTAGAACTGTATTGCTTTCTCTATATCTAATCAGTTTTGGAATACTGTAATGAAAGGTGTCCGAGCAAGGTTGTCCGAGCCACTGGTGGGTTAATAAAATGGATGAGATCTAGGGTAGATCTAGGGTAGATCAAAGAAAAGCTAGGGTAAATCAAATATTAGAAGCGAGATCAGTATGAGGTACTGTAGTGGGAGTTGTGTCTTGGCTACTGGTTCTGTTTTGAGCTAAATCCGTCGCAAAACTGGTCAAGATCAAGACTTGGCCTGGAAAGTCTCTTGGACTAGCTCTTGAACTAACTCTTGGACTAACAAGGGAAAGGTAACAATAGGATTTGACCAAATGAGCTAAGCCATAGACCATTCGACGCAAAATCTGCTTTCCGTTTTAAGCTAAAGTTTTAAGGTCAATTAAAATTCAGATGTTAAGAGAAACAAAAGTTTTGCCAAGAAGGAATCGAACTCGAGCAAATGTAAGTCGCTCGTTTTGCATGCAAGCCTTTTATCCACTACACCGTCAAGACACGCTCGCTGTGCGTGAGAAAATCGTTGTAAATCGGCTTCAAATTTCCGCATTCTTACCTTAGAACTTAAAACACTTAAAACTTTTTATAGAAAGCTATTTTCGAAAAACGGGAAGCAGATTCGGAATCAGCGTGAAATTCTATGTCGAATGGTCTATGGGTTATTTTATTTCGTCACATCCTTGGTTACATTTCCTTTGTAAGAATGATTTTACACTATTAGTTTATTCTAATTTATTGTCTTTACAGTAATCACCTTTTTTTAACAATTTCACCCAGAATTTTCGATACGGATCGTAGAGAGCCAAGATGCAGAGATTACTGCCGATTCCGTGACTCGAGAAAATGATTTGAACCATGCTAGAGACAGCTGAAAACGATTTTGCAACAAGAAATTTTGTCACATTTTCTTACCCGAATCAATGAACAAATTTCCAGTGACAAGGTATCGAAAAATTAGTATAAATGGTGGCATAAACATTAGGAGAACGGCGGTGCCAATCTGGGAAAAGAATTCATTGTTCAAAGTTGTTCAAAGTTCTTCAAAGCTCTTCAAAGTTTCTTTTCTTTTCACCAACTTGTACATTCATTGTGAGGAAGACTTTCTTCTGTAAATATCTCGTTCGAGCACTCATATGTGAGCATTTAAATTGAAGAACGTAAGCGGTTGAGCCAAGAACGATCACTGGAGAATGTTGATTATTTATTAGGTTGGAAAGGAAGTTCTCAGAAAAAGTTTGAATGGAATTTCTTTAAAAACAAATCCACTAATTCAAGAAGATTTTGTTCTATTATTTACAATTCTATTATTTATTCTATTTATTATTTTATTCTATTATTTAGATGAGAATCGCTCGGTAGCTTCCTCATGAAGAGAAAAAAACGATTCCTTATGAAGTAAATCTAGCATAAATGAGCAAAACGCTTTATAATCTCTATTTTTGGCTAAAATCTTTTACATAGAAGCTGTATTTCAAAAAAGCATTTTTTTAGTGTCATCTTGGCACTGAGTGTTTACTAAAATAGGTGAATTCTGAAAAGTTAAAGTATTGGATAAAAGTATTGAATAAAAGTATTGGATAAAAGTATTGGATAAAAGTATTGGATAAAAAATTTGCCTTAATCAAAAGTTTTCCCTATTTTAAGTACTTGATTTTAGGTTTTGAATTATTTATCTATCTTGCATCCCGAATCTGCTTTCTCTAAATTCTCTAGAGCTTTTTGTAAATCGCGTGGTTAAAGTTTGGAATGCCCTTCCCGACAAGTTGCGTTTGATCTCCACCGTGTCTGATTTTAAAAGGGCTACTTCTTTGCATTTTAAGTGATCCTTTGTCATCTTTTATCTTGTACATTTTTCATGTCGTTTTCGCACTTTATTTCTTTCTAAATAAAGTATTTATATATAAGATTTAATGATTGCTTAAAGGGGAGTGCAGATCGCGGCTGAATCTTAAAGAAAAAAAAAACCTTTTTACGGCTGTGCAGGGCGTGAGTGAGAGGGTACCGATGGGGCAATGATATTTATGATTCTAAGTTTTGAATGAAACCCATTGCCTATTCATTAACGAATTAAAAACTTGTCTAAAGGTGTGATATCACATCCGTCTGTTATCAAATGTGGTGTGATAACAGATCGATATCCAAAGGCAGATCAAGATCAAGACTCAAAAAGTGACCAAGTGACTTCAGCTGAAGAAATCTCTTATTTACTTGAAGCCTACTCTGCTTTTTTGTCAAAAACTTTCAAGTCAAGTTTATCAAAAAATCTGGAAAGAATTGATGGCTTTGTTTTTGAGAAATCACTGTGCAAAGTTTTTCTACGAAATTTCTTGTCAACCTAATATAATCTATTCTAATACTTTATGGAAAAGCAGGGTGAAATAATCAAATGATAACCCCAGTCCTGGGACAACCAGAAGCTAGGATTAAGCTAGAAGCCACGGATTCCCTAGTCTGGTTCAGTTTATAAAGCTTTATTTTTTAATGTCATCTTCTTGGCACTTCTTGGCATACTTTATAGAAAAGCAGGGTCAAATAATCAAACAATAACCCCAATCCTGGGACAACCAGAAGCTAGAATTAAGCTAGAAGCCACGGATTGAAAATCTGGTTCAGTTTACAATGTATTAAAACTAATTTGCTTTGTATTACGAATTACTCGTGTGCTTTCCCTTGAGGCTAATACTTCTTGAAACAACCTGTTGTCTAGCCCATTATCTATTATTTGCCTAGCTAGGCCAATCTGAGCTTCTAGAGAATCGTTTACTAGGTTGGTGCAAATGAAATTTCGTTTTTTTACAAACATTAAAGTCATCCAAAATTTTTTTAGATAACAATTTATTTAAAACAATAAGCACCATTATTATCTATGACATCCCTCCAACGTGCGGATCCCCTTCTCAAAGAACGCTTGATTCTGTGATGCAAAGTAGTTGGTCACCCAATTTTCGACTTCTTTTGCATTCTTAAACTGGCAATTCTCAAGGGAATGTTGCATCGATCTGAAAAGGTGAAAATCGGAGGGTGCTAAGTCTGGACTATACGGCGCAGGTGGTAAGACCTTCCATCCTAGCTTCTCTAGTTCCTTACAAGAGGTTTTTGCCGTGTGAGCTGGAGCATTATCACGGAGAAAGTTGATAGTTGAGGGATTTAGGCCTTTTTCACGCAAAATTTCGTCAACCTTCTTGAGTTGTTGAATAAAATAAGATGAATCGACTGTTTTTCCGGGCTCTAATAATTCAAAATCAACAAGTCCATTGATATTCCACCAGCAAGACAACATCACTTTGCGCCCATGATAATCCGGCTTTAGAGTTGGAATTGGTGCTTGACCTTTGCTCAGCCATTGTCTTTTTCGAGAAGTATTATCAAAGTGAATCCACTTCTCTCATCCATCGTCAAGATATTCTCAAAAAAAATGGCTTCTTTTCGACTTCTGGAGCAAAGATATGGCTGATCGGAAGCGTGCTCCCAGATTCTCAACACTCAATTGATGTGGAACCCATTATCCATTACGATTTGTCTTTCCAATTATTTCCAAATGGCGTACAATTGTTGAATTGGAGATGTTTGGCAAGTTCTCGTGTTGTTTGCATTGGATCAGCTTCAATTCATTGTTGTCGATGGCTGTGGCACGATGTCCATGCGATTCGTCTTCAAGGGATTCATTACCATCTCGGAATAGGGCAAACCAGAGCTGGCATGATCTTTCGGTGATAACCTGTTCTCCAAAGGCGGAACAGAGATCACGATGTGAATCAGCAGCGTTTTTGCCCATTTTGAAGTCATAGAGAAGACACGTGCGCAGAACATACTTTTGATCCACCATGATCTAAAGCAAAAATCAATTAAAAAGTGAAAGCTCTGACTTTGAAAAAATGCGAAAATAAAGTAAATATCCAAGAGTACAAATGCACAAAAGAACATCAAATAAGCTCTTCAGATTAAAAAAATAAGAACATTTTATATCGACCGAAATTTCTTTTGCACCAACCTAATACTTTACTTTACTAGAGCATTCAAACCTGAATTCACTGTAGCAGTGAGAAATTGAAAGCCCAATCCATAAGAAATGATCTGCAATCCAAATTGATCCAGGAGAAAACATTCACGAGAATCGCAAATGTCAAGAAAACTTCCAAAAAGCTAAATTTGATATAGAAATGGGTTTTTTAAAAAACCCTTACCAATTTGTATTCATTTCGCACTAGATTTTGATCTTTGAACGCCAGAAATAGTGTCACTTGTAAGACCAAATTTGGGGTGATAAAATTGTAGAGAATAATTGAGATGAAGGTTCTTTTGCGTAGCTTCATCCAATAATCATCGGAAAGAACGACTTGTTGACGATAAAGAATAAGGGGAAGAATTGAACAGAGATATAAGACCATTAGGAAGGAGACGAGGTGCTGAAAGGGACTGTGAGGGACGAATGGACTGTTAGTTGGACTGGATCGGACTCTGGACCTGGATCAGCCCCTAGACCGGACTCTGGACCTGGATCAGACCCTGGATCGGACTCTGGACCTGGATCAGACCCTGGAGCAGACCCTGGACCGGACTCTGGACCTGGATCAGACCCTGGATCGGACTCTGGAAATGGATCAGACCCTGAACCGGACTCTGGACCTGGATCAGACCCTGGACCAGACTCTGGACCTAGATCAGACCCTGGATTGGACTCTGGACCTGGATCAGACCCTAGAGCAGACCCTGGACATGGATCAGACCATGGATCGGACTCTGGACCTGGATCAGACCCTGGATTGGACTCTGGACCTGGATCAGACCTTGGAGCAGACCCTGGATCGGACTCTGGAAATGGGTCAGACCCTGGATCAGACCCTGCATCGGACTCTGGACCTGGATCAGACCCTGGACCGGACTCTGGACCTGGATCAGACCCTGGAGCAGACCCTGGATCGGACTCTGGAAATGGGTCAGACCCTGGATCAGACCCTGGATCGGGCTCTGGAAATGGGTCAGACCCTGAACCGGACTCTGGACCTGGATCAGACCCTGCATCGGACTCTGGACCTGGATCAGACCCTGGACCGGACTCTGGACCTGGATCAGACCCTGGATCGGACCCTGGAAATGGATCAGATCCTGGACCGGACTCTGATCGGATTCTAGTCTTTTTTGGCCTGATCTAGTTACAAGCCGTAGATTATGACATACTTGATCTGTTACTGGTACTGAATGATACAGCTTACTGATACCACTGACACAAGATCGAGTACTTCAAAAAGTTTTCGCACTTTGGTGAATGTGGAAACTTAGTCAAACGATGAGTCAAACTCACCAATTGCAACCTCCCCGTGAATCCAAGAAACCCGAGGAAACCGGTGGTGTAAAATCCGATAACTGGCAAAATCGTGACCGCCGCCATGCCCAGTCCATGAAAGATTGTGAAGATCAGTTCGAGACTCTCAAAAAAATCACTAAAATCAAAAAAATATCTATGATAAGTTACCAAGTATAAGAGCAAGAATCTACTGTAGACTCTCATTGTATTGGGTGTTTGTTTGGCGATGACACAGAAAGTTGTACAGCCGAGCAGTGCGGAAATCCCTAAAATCTCTATTTTACTTGAACGGGAAAGGGATACGGTATTTTTTAAAAATCGGTTTGGATTACAGTAGTTTTCTAATGACTTTTTAGCTTTAAAAGTTATTCTCGAAAGCACTACCTGATACAATGTAGATAAAGGAGTGAAATATCGGGATGATCGGCGAGTCAATCATTCGCAAAATGATCTTTGAAAGCAAAAGCTTTCTTTTATTTTTTAAAATTTTCATGATTTTTATCATGAAAATCTAGTTTACTAATTGTAATTGAAAAAAAACGTGAAATTTTATGAATCAAATTATGAATTATGAACCAAAGCTCTACTTGGAATTTGGAAAAGAAATTGTAACTTGATTTTTTGAATTTTTGCGAATAATTGAGAAATGAGAAAGGAAATGGAAAAGAAAATCGAAATTTTGGCTACAAAATGGAAAAAAAATGAAAGAAAAGAAAACAATTCCAAGTGTAAAATGGCAGAGATTCTGTACTCTTTTGAAAATATCACATTTGAATTAGAAATCTTTAACTACAAAGGGATTTTACAAAGGGAATCTTTAACTACAAACATTCTAGCCGATTTTCTAGCCTTTCTTGGTTTTAAACAGAAATTTGAAGGAAAGAAAAGCCAACAAGTTAACTTACAAATTAGCTAAAGATTTTTGGGTGATTGAATAGATTGAACAGACAGATATCTTTTCAATTTCTTGTATGTTAACAGAGTCTGTCTTGTTCTTGTCTGTTAACTTGTCTTTCTTTCTTTCTTTCTTTCTTTCTTTCTTTCTTTCTTTCTTTCTTTCTTTCTTTCTTTCTTTCTTTCTTTCTTTCTTTCTTTCTTTCTTTCTTTCTTTCTTTCTTTCTTTCTTTCTTTCTTTCTTTCTTTCTTTCTTTCTTTCTTTCTTCCTCATTGTCTTAGCTATTCGGGAAGAGTGTAAAATTTTGGATCGAATGAAAATCGAAATAAAAATCACTTTTTCAATCGACCTAATCCTCTAATGAAGTGAAACAAAAGCGATTATAAATGATGAAATTTTGAATGAGTAAAGAGTAAAAGAAATAAAATTTGGATGAGTCTTGAGACAAAATCATTATAGAAGTGAATGAAAAGTAAAAAGCAAAAGGCTATCAATCAATTGACAAAGTTGGAGTTGAAAAGTTGCGCTTTTCTTTTCGTAATTGTATTCTAAAACGTTGAAACAGTGATTGACTTGATTGGATCAGACCCTGGACCGGACTCTGATCGGATTCTAGTCTTTTTTGGCCTTTTTTCTAGTCTAGTTACAAGCCCTAGATTATGACATAATTGATAATCTGTTAAGTCATTATTGATAATCATAATCTGTTACTGATACTGAATGATACAGCTTACTGATATCACTGATATCACTGATACTTTAAAACTTTGAAATGAATGAAATGATTGAAATGATTGAAACGATTGAAATGATTGAAATGATTGAAGTTTATTTTTTGTTCCCAATTAATTTTGGAGTTTTGTTGAAAAAAGGCGAGAGTGAGAGCAAAGGCAGCATTTGTTAGATTATTTTTTTTGAGTTAATTATTAGATAGATAATTATTAGATTTAAAAAGATGCGTCAGAAAATTTTTGGGGAAGAACTTAGAATTGATCTCTTCTTTTTAGAAAAACATCAGTTTTAATAGTTGGTTTGATTTGTTCTCAGCAAGGGATTTGTTCTCAACAATTTGAGTCTAAAAATGGAAACATAAAGGCTACAATATATTAGGCTTAAGGACAACATTGATCGACATCTTGTTGAAAGTTTGCAGATGATTTTTGATGATTTTCTTTTGTTTGTTTGATATGTTATTTTTGTTTGTTTGTTTGTTTGTTTGATTATTTTTGATATAATAAGATTTTGAGCATGATTCTTTGAATAGGTTATTAGTAATCTTCTGCTAAAATCTTCTGCTAAATGTCCTTGTTTGAAATTCAGAAGTGCTAGGTGAGAGTAGTGTCTAGGAGGCCACGGTTCCGAGTTCCATTTGACAGAGCCGGGAAGATGAATAGCGCCAATCGATTCGCCGACCCTGAAAACCTCTGGGTACAAATTTCCAGCTAAATATCTTTTTTTTGTGTCATCAACAAAGGAAAAGAAAAATTGGTCAAGTGTTCTTTGTGCGGCCACGTAATCGCTCTCCATCTGGCAAATCCCCTCAGCATAAGGGACTTCACTTTGGGAATCTCTAAACTCCGTGTCCTCTTCTTTTTTTGCCCAAATTTCTCTAAACTATAGTGCTTTTGATTTTAGATTGTTTGTTTTGGAATTTGGGAATAACGATGCTCAGGAAACAGGATCGCTCAATCGATTCTCACAGAAAAACTGACATTTCCTTTTCGCTGATCTTTCACAAAATAATCACAAACAAAAACATGGAAAAATCATTTTGCGAGAAGAGAAAACGAAGCGATTTTCGGTGAAAAGATGAAAAAAGTAAATAGAATGAAACCCAGGGATTTTTTTTGTCTAAACTGTAGTGCTTTTGATTTCAGATTGTTTGCTAGTTGTTTAAGAAACCCAGGGATTTTCTTAAAAAACTAGCATTGACTCTTCGGCAAATTTTGTATGAATTTCGTTGAAAACTCGAAAACTTTCAATTCTGGATAGTTGAAAATTTAGGTTCTTTTCAAGGCTTTGATTTCTTTCAAAGTCGTCTTTGAGTCGATTTTCGCAAAGCTATGCAGCTTTTCAGTTATTAAATCGTTTCAAGCCGTGTCGAACAAATGGAATCAATGAAATGAGACTTTCTATTTCCAATTCACAATCTATCACAAGAACTTTGGTTTTTGAACCCTAAACTTGCTAATCCATAGAAATAGAATGAAATAGAAAGCTATGCGAGAAATAGAATGAAATTCAAATCAACCCGAAACTTGCTAAAAGCTTCAACTTTTCTTTTCTCAAAATCTTCTTGAACTTGCTTGAACTTCAAAAATCTGAATTTAGAACTTGTTTGGAAAGCTTTACAAAACAGTTTCAGTCCTCAAAACTTGAAAAACTTTGAACAGTGAAGAGAGAATGAGAACTTTGTTCAAAACTTGTTTGTTTGTTTGTTTGTTTGTTTGTAATTTCGAAAGTTGTTCAATCCTGTTCATTTTGCCTCAATTTTGCAAGTGATTCTGAATTTGAATATCTGAATCTTGAACTTGTAAACTTGTAAAAAAAGCTTGTAAACTTTACTTGTAAACTTGTAAAAAAAGCTTGTAAACTTTACTTGTAAACTTGTAAAAAAAGCTTGTAAACTTTACTTGTAAACTTGTAAAAAAAGCTTATAAACTTTATTTTTAAACTTGTAAACAAACTTTCTTACAAACTGAAGTTTTTTTCTTACAAACTGAAGAAAGCATGAATACTTTCTTACAGCGATAATATTTATTTTGTTCCCTTTTCTCATTTTATTTTCACCACAAATCGTTGATTACCCGATAAGGGAGGAATCACCCGTTTCTCTGTGAATTTCCCTGAAAAATCTTTGTTTTCTGTTTTTCTCTCGATCAAAAACAGCAAAAACAGCAAAAACCGAAAAAAGAGCTTACAATTATAAATTTAGTTTTATTTATTAACGATTCGATGAGCAAAACGATGCCAAATTTTGAGAGAAAATTTGGCATCGGTTTGAGAGAACATTGATCCCAAATTCATCCCAAATTCATCCAAAAATGAAGTCACTAAACTCGATATTCAATTAGCATGATTCGTAAACGAATGTGCTCAATAAAACTTAATTTTATGGGGGTGGGATAAATGCGACCTTTTTTTTGCGCACCGGGACATTTGCGCACCTTTTTTTGCTGGAAAAGGCCTTAGGAAAGGTCGTAGAGCTTCAAAAATGTTTTCATGGAAGGGTATCGTATGCGTAGATTCCGAATTTCGACAAATCACACCTCGCTGACACGTCAAATTTGGGCTAAAAGGCAAAAACTGCGGAAAAGCGTTAAGTTGCGTAGTTTTTGCCTTTTAGCTCAAATTTAACGTGTCAGCGAGGTCTGATTTGCTTTGATTTGTCGAAATTCGGAATCTACGCATACGGAATCTACGAAAAATCTTTGTTTTCTGTTTTTCTCTCCATCAGTTTACAGCAAAAAGAGCTTACAATTATAAATTTAGTTTTATTTATTAACGATTCGACGAGCAAAACGATGCCAAATTTTGAGAGAAAATTTGGCATCGGTTTGAGATGAAATTGATCCCAAATTGATCCCAAATTGATCCAAAAATGAAGTCACAAAACCCGATATTCAATTAGCATGATTCGTAAACGAATGTGCTCAATAAAACCTAATTTTATAGAAAAAAAAAGATATAAAACTGTTTGTATAAACTTTAAATTACGAGAATTACGAGAATTACGAGAATTTAAGAGATAAGAATCATCTATTCACAAAATTTCATTTGATCTTTGTCTCAAAACGTCTCGTTCTCCTTTACTGTAACTAGATTGATCAATTGGATAAAAATAGAGCCAAGATTACGGTAGTCTCAAAAAGTAGACGTAAAGCTCGTCTACTTTCGGAGACTACCGTAATCTTGGCTCTATTTTTATCCAATTTTTCACAAATTAAATTCAAAAATGTTTCTCATTCATTCACTTTAAAGCTTTATAACCGTGAGCTTTTGAATTTTCGAAAATTGTTCACTGATCTTGTTTTGTTCGTTTCTTTTTCATCGATTGATTCTCTTTTAATGTCTGTATAACAATTTTCTCTTGTAAACAAACTGTCTTATCTGAAATGACCTTTTCTTTCTTCTCTTTCTTTCTTCTCTTTCTTTCTTTCTTCTCTTTCTTTCCTTTCCTTCTTTCTTCTTTTCTCTTTCTCCCTTTCTTTCTTCTCTTTCTTTTCTTTCTTTTCTCTAATTGTCCACAAACGGGCAAAAATGGGATTTCAGTCTAAGCAAGCAAAAATCATTCGTTGTTTTCGCACTTTTGCTGTTTTCGGAATCGCATCTACTATTTTTTTTGCTGTACTTTGTGCTTAAAACTAGCCAAGCCAAACAAACCCTTTCTAGAGCACTGTTTCTAATCTTTTCAGTAATTAAAAAGAAAGCTAAAGATTTCTCTATCCGATAGATGTGTTTACAAAGCTTTAGCACAAAGTCCACCTAAGCTTTTTGTAGCTGATATTTTTTGTCGTGGCCTTTTGTGGCTAATGCTTTTAAATTGTCTAAACTTAAGCTTTTAAAATTGTCTAAACTTTCCCTTCCTTCTTTCTTTCCCTTCCTTCTTTCTTTCCCTTCCCTCTTTCTTTCCCTTCCCTCTTTCTTTCCCTTCCTTCTTTCTTTCCCTTCCTTCTTTCCCTTCCCTCCCTCCTCCCTTCCTTCTTTCTTTCCCTTCCTTCTTTCTTTCCCTTCCTTTTTTTCCCTTCCTTCTTTTCCTTCCTTCTTTTCCTTCCTTCCTTTCTTTCTTTCCCTTCCTTCTTTCTTTCCTAAAATTGTCTAAACTTTAACCCTAATCAAAGTTATGAAATCAATCGGGGAAAGAGTTCTCAAAAATGGATCCAACTGTTCCAATTTATTTGCCAAAAATGTAACTGAAAGATTCGGAGGTCAGGGGGATGGCCAAAAAACAAAAAAAAAACAAAAAAACAAGAGAGAGTTTTGATTGGGAAAGAGAGGAAGAAGAAAGAAGAAGAGAAAAAAAGAGGGAAAGAGAGGGAACACATAAAAATTGTCTTGTCTAAGTCTCTTTTCTCTCCTGCCGACAGATCTTTTTTTATTTCTCGGAGAGGCTGTCCAGCAGGCATATTACTCTCTTTCTCCGCCCCTTCTTTTCCCCATTTTTCCATTTCTTTTCCCCTCTGGACATCGCTCACACCCCACCTTTCCCCCCAATTTTTTTCATTGATTCACCGCTCCTATATACTTGAACAAATGTTTTTTTGTTAGCTCAAGTCCCACATGATCTTTTGTCTGACTTTGATAGGATTTTAGAGGGTTAAGATAACTTAACTAAACTCAACTTTCTTTCCCTTCCTTCTTTCTTTCTTCTTTCCTTCTTCCTTTCTTCTTCCCTCTTGTCTTACCTTCTTTTCTTCTTCATTTCCATCTTCCTTTCTTCTTCTTCTCTCTTGTCTTTCCTTCTTTCCTTCTTTCCATCTTCCTTTCCATCTTCCTTTCTTCTTCTTCCCTCTTGTCTTTCCTTCTTTCCATCTTTCCATCTTTCCTTTTTTTCTTCTTTCCCCTTTATCTTAACAAGTTAATGTACCAAATAGCTCAATGATTAGAGCAATAGCAATTGGAAAGCAATGGTTCAATAGCAATAGCAATGGTTCAATAGCAATGGTTCAATAGCAATAGCAATGGTTCAATAGCAATAGTTCAATAGCAATAGCAATGGTTCAATCCCCTATCTTAAAATCTAGTTTTTCTTCCCAATTCCATCAATTATTTATTAAAATGAGTGATCGTACAATTGAGCTTCAGGAAAGCTTGGCTTTTTATATTAATTTGATAATTTATAGCTTTCCAATAGACTTCCAATAGATAATTTATAGCTTTCCAATAGGCTTTCCAATAATCCAATAGACTTTCAAATTGTTCAAAATGATCTTTTTCTAAGATTTTTCAAATGATTTTCAAAAGGATTTTCAAATCAAATTTCCTAGAACTCTGTCTAGAAATCTTTCAAAAACTGTTTTTGATTCGAAAAACGGTTTTTGATTCGCTCAAAATCTTTCTGACAATTTCCTTGATTGCCATTGGCTTTCTTGTATTCAATTAGCAGTAAATCTTTTGCCAATCTATTATTCTTCTTTCATTTTATCTTTATCTTTAGTTTATCTCTATCTTTAGTTTTTAATTCAAATTTTGAAATATCAAGTTCTTTAGTTGAATACTCAAAACCATCGAAATCATGTTGACGGATCACGATCGTCGAAAGCAAATCTCGGTTCGAGGGATCGCCCAGGTGGAGAATGTGAGCAATATCAAGAAATCTTTCAATCGACATCTTCACTTCTCGATTATCAAGGTAAAAGATTGATGTTTGATTTTTAAATGAGAATAGATCCAGGGTTGTACAGGCAGGGTTGTTATCAGACTTCAAAGCCAGCTTCTGGTCTAACCTAGCTTTGGCCAGCTTCTGGTCTAACCTAGCTTTGCTACAAGCCTCCATTTGACTAGTTTTTTGACTCTAGACTCTTAGACTCTGACACCTATCTACACACCCTAACCTGAACCCAAATTCTCTCATTTCACATTCACATTCTCCCATTCTCATTCTCTCATTCTCATTTGACCAACTTCTAGGACCGCAACGTGGCCACCCCTCGGGATTACTACTTTGCTTTGGCGAACACTGTGAGAGATCATTTGGTCAGTCGATGGATTCGCACTCAACAACATTATTACGAGAAAGATCCGAAGAGAGTTTACTATCTTTCATTGGAATTCTATATGGGAAGAACGCTGTCGAACACGATGATGAATCTTGGGATTCAGGCGACGGTTGACGAGGCGCTGTATCAGGTGAGAGGAAGAGTGAGAGAAAGATTGAGATATTTCGATTCAAATACCTAATCCCACAATTTCAGCTGGGTTTGGACATTGAAGAGTTGCAAGAAATTGAAGAGGATGCCGGCTTGGGAAATGGAGGATTGGGACGATTGGCCGCATGCTTTCTTGACTCGATGGCCACTCTTGGGATACCTGCTTATGGATATGGGCTGCGATACGAATATGGAATTTTCAAGCAATTGATTAGAGATGGATGGCAGGTGAGAGGCAAGACAACGATTGAGTCAAAATCGAATTTGGGGCTTAAATAAGGGCTTAAATAATGGCAAACTTGAGCTAGATCTAGCTCTAGATCTAGCTCTAGATTTAACGATCTTAAACATTAATAATCTTTTTAAAATCTCAGGTAGAAGAACCCGATGACTGGCTTCGTTTCGGTAATCCTTGGGAGAAAGCCCGTCCCGAGGTTTGTTTGTTTTTTGTTTGTTACAGTTTGAATTGTATATTTCTATGTAAATGTCGTAGCCGATTTCCTATTTCAGTCGATTTTTTATTTCAGCCAATTTGCTATAAAAGCATATCAACTAGTCGATTTGCTTTAAAAAGATTTGCGATTTGCTTCGCTAGCCAATTTGCTATATTCTTGGATTCCAATGGTCTGGACTTAGTTAAATGATCTTGATATACTATAAGAAACTTGTCATCACTGTAACTTGTAACCAAAGCAATGGATTGGATTGGAATGGAACGGATTGCAGATCAATGAGATTGATTTGGCATCGCTCGTTCTGCTCTTGTGTGACAATCGACTTGATGACAGTTCCTTTTGGAGTTTTCTTTGGTTTCCTAAGCCTAAGCCCAAGCCCAAGCCTAAGCCTAACAAGCCCAAGCCCGCCCAAGCCCAAGCCCAAGCCCAAGCCCAACCCCAAGCCCAAGCCCAAGCCCAAGCCCCAAGCCCAAGCCTAAGCCCAAGCCCAAGCCTAAGCCTAAGCCCAAGCCCAAGCCTAAGCCTAAGCCCAAGCCTAAGCTTTCTTCAACTCGCACTCCGAACAGTTTAACAAAGAAATTCGAAGTAATGAAATGAAATGAATTGCTAGAAATGAAAAGAAACTTTGAGGGGAATCTAATTAGCAAATTGGCTAGTTGATATGCTTTCATAGCATCAGCTGTAATAATAAATCGACTACAAGATGTAAATCGACAATATGGATGTAGAGTAGAGAATCAAGAAAAAAAGGCTTTATAATTAATTCTAATTCAGTACATGTTGCCTGTGAATTTCTTCGGGAGAGTTGAAAAAGATGATGAGGGAAAATCGAAATGGGTTGACACACAAGTGGTATTCGCTATGCCGTACGATACACCAGTGCCCGGATATCGAAATAATGTGGTGAACACGTTGAGGTGAGTGGAACGATTAGTAGAAAGAGAGTAAGGCCTGGGACAAAGGTCGGTGTAGCTGCCTGGTCCTGGGACACATGTCGGTGTATTTGCCTGGGCCTGGGACACATAACGGGACACATGTCGGTGTAGCTGCCTGGGCCTGGGACACATAATGGGACACATGTCGTTGTAACTCATTGGCAGAGCGCAAAGCGATCGGGGGATAAGTCGCGAGTTCGAGTCCCGGCGCCGACCGGGATTCATTCTCTCCCATAAAAGAACCAACGTTTTCAACTAGAGCTAAGCATTACTATGGGCTAAGCTAAGCTGTGCTAAGCTAAACTAAGCTATGCTAAGCTAAGCTGTGCTAAGCTAACTTGAAACGCACTCCTTCTGGTGCAGGAAGTGTAACTGAAAGAAAGTGACAGCCTAGAAAGCCTGCACTAGAAAGCCTGCACTAGAAAGAATGTGTTTCCATTTGTGAGCACAAAGTACGGGCAAAGATCAAGCCAGTCTTTTTCAGATTGTGGTCAGCGAAAGCGGAGAATCATTTCCATTTGAAATTCTTCAACGATGGAGATTATGTGCAAGCAGTAATGGACAGAAATACATCTGAGAATATCACTCGTGTCCTTTATCCAAATGATAATATGTTTGTCGGGAAAGAGCTTCGTTTAAAGCAACAATATTTCCTCGTCGCAGCATCGCTTCAGGTGGGATTTTTGATTCAAAAGTAAATAGAGTTAAATCTAAATATTAAATAACTATATAGAAGTTTAAAAACTCTATAAAAACTATATGGAAGCTTAAAAACTCTATAAAACCATTGTTGAAACCTGTCAAGACTGTACAAAGTCGTAAAGAACTTTCTGCAAAATAAAGAACCAAAAAAGCGATTAGTGGGCCAGATTGTCGTTCATTTAACTCTTTCAGGACATCATTCGTCGCTTTAAATCTTCAAAATACGGTTGTCGGGATCTTGTGCGAGTCGATTTCAGCACATTCCCCGATAAGGTGGCCATTCAACTCAACGACACTCATCCCTCGATTGGAATCCCCGAATTGATGAGATTATTGATCGATGTTGAGGATCTTTCATGGGAAGATGCGTGGAAGATCTGCGTTGATACGTAGGTTTATCCTCTATAAAATCAGAATAAAGAAGTATCAGAATATCAGAAAGGAAGTATCAGAATAAAGAAGTTCCAGTTAGAAATTCTAGGATTTACAAAGCAGAATAGGTTAGACTAGAGCCCGAAAACTCATGAAAAAAAGAAGCTAACATTTACTGGTTTTACTCGGACACTCATTACCTAAGGGGAATTTCTAGCCCTCGACGATTTGCTCCCTTAGCTCAGTGGTAAAGGGCGCGATTATCGGGTGCCCCCCACTGACAACTGGTACAGGTTCGACCCCAAGCAAAGCAACCTTTTTTCCTTTCTTTTGATTTATTAGCTTAGCATCTTCAATCATCGATTTTTAGCATCTTCAAGTCAAAATTTCCATATCAAATTCTAGAAAAAAATCAAATTCTGTTTCTAGTTATGCTTACACGAATCACACGCTTCTCCCCGAGGCGCTCGAGCGTTGGCCCGTCTCGTTGATGCAAACGCTTTTGCCGCGACATTTGGAGATCATCTACCAGATCAATCATCAGTTCATGGAGGTGAGAAAATGAGTAGAATGAGAAAATGAGAATCTAAAAATCTTTAGACAGTCTCAAAGCGTTTCCCGGGAGACTTCGATCGTATGCGGCGAATGTCGATTGTTGAGGAAGCGGATAATCACGGAGAGAAGCGAATCAATATGGCTCATTTGTGCATTGTGGCCTCACATGCGGTATTTAGAAACTATTTAGAAAGATATATAAAGTAATTTCTAACAATTTATAACAATTTATAAATGATTTAGATCAATGGAGTTGCCGCTCTTCATTCTGAGCTTCTCAAGAGTCACACGTGAGTGAAAATGGAGTTAAAGCTAGAGCTAGAGCTAGAGCTAGAGCTAAAGCTAGAGCTAAAGCTAGAGCTAAAGCTAGAGCTAAAGCTAGAGCTAAAGCTAGAGATAAAGCTAGAGCTAAAGCTAGAGCTAAAGCTAGAGCTAAAGCTAGAGCTAAAGCTAGAGCTAAAGCTAGAGCTAAAGCTAGAGCTAAAGCTAGAGCTAAAGCTAGAGCTAAAGCTAGAGCTAAAGCTAGAGCTAAAGCTAGAGCTAGAGGTTGAATACTTTGAAAAGCCATCGAAAAACCCTTTCGAAAACCGTTAGTACACAAGAAAATGAAGGAAAATTGTTCCAAATTGATCTAAAAGACTGAACGATGATCTAGAAAACTTCAATTCCATTCCACCAATCATCCAGCTTTACATTTCCAGATTCCACGACTTCTACGAGTTTTACCCGGAGAAATTCCAGAATAAAACGAATGGGATCACTCCTAGAAGATGGCTTCTTCTCTCCAATCCATCATTAGCTGATATCATTTGTGAGGTGAACGATAAAAGAGCTCTTTCAACAATTAGATAAAGATAGAACAGCTCTTTCAGCTCTTTCAGCTTTTTTCTTTGATCTAAAAGAGTTTTTACAGAAAATCGGTGAAGATTGGACAACAAATTTGGACGAATTGCAAAAGTTGAAAGAGTTTGCCGACTCGGCTCCATTCTTAGAGTCGATTCGTCGTGTGAAGCAAGAAAACAAATTGCGAGTGGCTCAATATTTAGAAGAAGAGTACAACGTGACAATCAATCCATCATCACTTTTCGATATTCATGTGAGTTTTGATGAAAAAGTCAGACAATTGGGATTTTGAAGGTGAAACGAATTCACGAGTACAAGCGTCAACTCCTCAACATTTTGTTTGTGATCGCTCTTTACAATCGAATTAAAGAGAATCCCGATTTGAAGATGGTTCCAAGAACATATCTTTATGGAGGAAAGGTTTGCCAAAAGAAATAGAGGGTTTTCTTTAAAAAATAATAATGAATTCGATTTTCTTGACTTTGAAAATCTTTTGGTTCAAATTTTCAACTAAGCCAGCTTTAAAAAACTCAAATTCTAAAGAAGAATAGAAAGAATTTCGCTTATAGATTTAGATTGAGAATGAGTTTTAATAGGAAACACTTTCTTTAATCATTGCAATCACAGCTGAATTACAATCACAGCTTGAATGCAAGTAAACAGATCTGAAAGCTTTCTAATAACAATTCAAAAGCTTTCAGGCGGCTCCCGGCTACCATATGGCCAAGCATTTAGAATGAGAATTAAATAATGACTTTATTTATTCTTTATAAATTGATTCTTGACGTTATTCTTGACTGAAATGAGTTCGAGATAGCATTAAAATTGAGTTGATACTCGAGAATAGAGTGTGTTCCTCGCGAGTCAGTAATTACTCGAGTAAATCTGCATGAGTAATTTTTGCTCGAGTAAATAGCTCGAGTAATAACTCGAGTAATTGTTGAGTAATTGTCGAGTAATAACTCGAGTAATAGCTCGAGTAATTGTCGAGTAATAACTCGAGTAATGCGTTTTCTAAAAAGGCGCCTGCGCGAAAAAAAATAAAAGCAATTTTTTGCGCAGGTTTTTCAAAAGAAAAAAATCATTTTTTTACACTGGAAAGGAATTTCCCACCAAATCAGTTAAACGGCTGAGTATCTTTAAAAAGTCTCATATATAGGCTCGTCATTTTTGAGGGGCTCGTCATTTTTGCGTCATTTTTTGGAATAATTTTTGCTAAAAGTACGATAATTTTTTCCCAAGTGTGCGTTTTAAAAAACGCATTTTAAAAAACTCGCGAGGAACATACTCGACTGTTTAGCTGTTTAGCTGTTTGTGAGAACTGTTTAGCTGTTTGTGAGAACTGTTTAGCTGTTTGTGAGAACTGTTTAGCTGTTTGTGAGAACTGTTTAGCTGTTTGTGAGAACTGCTACTGTTTTAGAATTCGTTTAGCTAAAGTTTTAATAGGAAATACTTCCTTTAATCATTGCAATCACAGCTTTAATTACAATCACAGCTTTAATTACAATCAAAGCTTTAATTACAATCACAGCTCACAGCAAATCATTCGATTGATCAAGTAAACAAACTCAATAACAATTCAAAAGCTTTCAGGCGGCTCCCGGCTACCATATGGCCAAGCAAATCATTCGATTGATCACCGCTGTTGGTGAGACGGTGAACAATGATCCGATTGTTGGCGACAAGTTGAAGGTAAAGATTTGAAACAATTGTACAGCTAAATATCAGAAATGTTAAGGTCAAAAGTTTAGGTTGTTTTCTTGGAGAATTATCGTGTGTCAATGGCTGAGAAGATCATCCCGGCAGCTGATCTCTCGGAGCAGGTAAAGAACAAGAATATTAAAAAGATAAGCAATCAAAAGAAACACAAAAGCTCTTATTTACAGTTTGAAAAATAAAGAAAGCTCTAAAAAACTTGTTTTTGTTGTTGTTGAAAGTTGAATTTTTGAATTTCTCATCTTTCAGATCTCCACCGCTGGAACTGAGGCTTCGGGAACGGGCAATATGAAGTTCATGGTTGGTATTAGAATACAGTAATCTGTAGATAAAGAGATAGATAGATAGATAAACTCTAAACAATATCGTATCGTAATCCAGTATCGTAATCCAAAACCAATCCAAAAACTCTTTCAGTTAAACGGCTCTCTCACAATTGGTACTCTTGACGGAGCAAATGTTGAAATGGCTGAAGAAATGGGCATGGATAACATTTTCATCTTTGGAATGAATGTCGAAGAAGTTGAAGCACTCGAAAAAAGAGGATATAATGCCGGGGAATTTATTGAGAAATGCCCGACATTGAAACAGATTGTCGAGCAAATCGAAGGTGGAATGCTGACACCTGAGGAGCCGGGACAACTCAAAGATGTGGCCAATATGCTTAGGCATCATGATCGGTCAGTTATTTTGAGTCTTAGAAGGAGATTCCTATTTACTTTTAAAATGTAACAGTCTAGCTTAGTTGTCTAGCTTCGTATTGCTTAGTATTAACGAAATTCAAACCTTTCAGCTTCATGGTTTGCGCCGATTTTGATGCTTACGCGAAATGTCAAGATAAAGTCGCTGAAACGTATCAAGATCAAAAAAAATGGAGTCGAATGGCGTTGATGAACATCGCATCGACAGGAAAATTCTCGACAGATCGCACGATTTCTGGTAAGTCGATGTACAGTAAACAGTTGCTCTCCAAGAGGAAAATGGATAGCGCCAATTGATTCACCGACCTCGAAAACCCCTTAGTACAAGTTTACGGTTGAATATCTTCTTTTTCTACGATAAAAGTGCAAAACGAAGATCCAAATGACTGTTCTTTGTGCGTGCTAGTAATCGCTCGCGATCTGGCACACGTGAAAGATGGATAGCTCTTCGTTTTTGCGGGGTTTAAGCAGGGCGTTGTCTGTAATCAACCCTTTTCACCAAAGATCTCAATGAGTGTTCTTTGTGCGGGCAAGTAATCGCTCGCGATCTGGCACATGTCCAAGATAGATGTTAGCTCTTCGTTTTTGGGGCCTTTAAGACGTTTTCTCTCATCAACCCTTTTCACCCAAGATCCCAATGACTGTTCTTTGTGCGGGCTAGTAATCGCTCGCGATCTGGCACACGTCCAAGATAGATAGCTAGCTCTTCGCTTTTCGAATCTTTAAGCAGGGCGTTTTCTGTAATCAACCGTTTTCGCACACTAGCCCTTTTCTCCCCTCAGCCGTTTTTCCAGACTTGTCCATTGTTTTTGCAAAATCAAGGCAAATCCGTAAATCTAAACTAAAACCGCTGCATTACTTAAGGTTGAAACGCTTGCAAATCTGATTTCCTCGTTTAATACCGGATAAATCATTGATAAACCGATTTCCTTTCTACATAAATTTTCTCAAGATTCATTACTCCAATCAAGCTTTATTTATTATTTTTTTCAGAATACGCTCGTGAGATCTGGGGAATCGAGCCAAACGTGGAGAAATTGCCGGCTCCATACGAAGGAGTGCCTGGCACGGAGAACGAGACAAAAGAATAGAAAAGATTCGAAACTAAGACGTAAAACTAAAACCTAAAGCTAAAACCTTTTCCATTCTTACCCTATTTTCTAATTTTTCCCCTAATTTCTTTATATTATTTTGGTGCTCTTTGTAAAAGATTTTTGCAAAATCAAAATGCAAAATCGTGCCATATTTTAGATTTTAGGTAGGAGATTTTAGTTTTATAATTTCCTGAGATTTTAAAATGATTTAGCTATCAAAAAATAGTGAATTTGCTAAGCGAAATTGAAAATTCTTTCAAAAATTTAGCTCAATTTTCTAGATTTTTTTTGAAAAATTCAATTTTATTAACTAGTTTTTTGATTTTTTTCTAATGTAGTGCGGGAAATTTTGTCATTTATTTAATAAATATTTGTAAAAGCACAATAAATTAGCATTTAGCCCGTTGAAGGGGTTGAGATTGATGAGGTATAAATAGGGGAATTTAGGCAAACACGAAATTTGGTGGCTTGCTTAGTGCTAGCAAGTGGCTAGCACTAGCACTGGCTAGCACTGGCGCCAAACGAGCCGCACGATCCCAACGAGAGCTCGAACGAGCCACAATGGGAGTTTTTTGAAAATCACAGCAAAAGGAAATAGAGAATGCTTAGTATTGATAACAGATTTTGTATCCACAAGTTGTCATACAGCATGAGGGTTGCTGGGTGTTTTCTCGGCCTAAGCAATCCGAATCGGTGTTGCAAGCGTCCGCGTGCGCGAAGAGGCAATTCAGGCCAGAATTTGCGTCAGCTGGACACGACGGAGTGCCGGTGATGCCTGGAAAATCGGTGAATATTGAAGGCTAGCCAGTCGACAATGGGTTTTCCTATTTCGTGACACTTTCTACAGTGATCTAGGGGCAATCTAGGGACAATCTAGGGGCAAGCTTGAGCTCTGGAGGGAATGAGGGAAATCTTGAGCATTCTTGGGACAAATCTTAGTCTTCAAAGTGCCTGTTGAACCTAGAAATCGACTTTTACAGTAGACTAGCTGTTCGACAATGGAATTTCTATCTTATAGTACTTGTTACAGTAATATATTGGAGCTTCTTACAGTAAGATACTCACCACTGCTTCCGCAAGTCGCTTGACAGCTGGACAACGATTGGAAATTGTTTGCATTGCCTCCACAGCCCGAGTACATGAATTGAGTGCAGCTAAAAAGGGGGTAGGTTACGGTAATGGATTACGGTAATAGATTACGGTAATAGATTACGGTAATAGATTACAGTAGTCGATTACGGTACTTGTGTACTTTGTGCTCAAATAGAAGCATGTCCCCTTTGGCGCACGGCTCACAGCAACAAAAAAACATTGCTTGAGTGCGCCAGGCCCGTGTCTACTTGAGCACAAAGTACATCTCAGAAAAAACCGACTCACCGCCCAGCTCCAGCATCATAATAATATCTAGCGGTTGGTGCAGTACATGATCCGACAGCTAGCGGCTGATTGCAAATAGAGCTGCCTGAACCTTAAGATGAGTTAACAGAGTGATCGAAAGCTTTCCACCACAAGACTACCACAACAAAAGAGAAAATATAGATGTAGAAGATAACCAAAAAAAACCACCACAAAAGCACGCACCAAACTCACTACTGATTCCGACTGGATCCCGGCAGATTCTCGTGGCTGAGTTGGTGACCGGATTCGGCTCAACACAGCACTTTTGAATCCCCGGACAATTCGAGTCCAACCAGCAGCCGATTGTTGTGTCCTGGAAATGGGAATTTTAGAAATCGTTTAGCTTTCCAGCCAGATTCAGATGCATCTAATTGCGATTTGTCAAAGTAAAGCCAGATGGGGCTCCAGTTAAAGTGTTGAGCTCCAGTTAAAGTGTTTGTTTTAGCAAGATGGGACTCCAGTTTTTTTTATTTGGGCTCCAGTTAAAGTGTTGAGTACTGTTGATATCAAAATATGTACCAGGATTCTTTAAAGAGTCACCATTTCGGCGAGCCAAGCAAATCTGGTCCAAGCTTGGTTCTATAGGGTACCTCAAGCTGTTCTGAAGCCATTTTTCTTGGCCACATTCTTGAGCCTGAGCCTAAGCCAGGCTAGAACCAGAAGCCAAAAACTGGCTTGGCTTCTGGTCGGCTTCTGGTCGGCTTCTGGTCTTGTCTGCCTTGGTTTTATCGCTTGTCTTGTAGTCCGGGGTCTATCAGAAGCGGATCTGGCTTCAGGCTTGGCCCTGGCATGGATAGAGGCTTGTGGGTTAGGATAACTTTTGAGCTTAGCCCTGGTCTTGCTAGTGATCAGCCCTGTAGCCAAGTTAGCTACAATTCTGAAAAAAACAGCCTTTAAAATCACCTGAAGAACAGAGATGCCCAACGGTCGTGGACAGCTTCCCGATTTCGCGTTGATCTCTGAGGCAGGGATTCCTAGGAAACATACATTTTTAAAATAGCTCTAATCAAAGAAAAAGGTCAAATTACAAGTACAAGTAGAATTACAAGTAAACAACTACCAGCAGTGACAATCTGGCAACACTTATTCCCATCACTTTGCACACAGATTTGCCCGGACAATGGGCACACTTGAAGGTCGGCTGTGCACTGGATCAAGGCGGCTGAGCTGAACAAGTTCGTTTGTTGGTTTCATGTTGGTTTGTTGGTTGAACAAGTTCGTTTGTAACAAATTGTTCGTTTACAATAAAATTTCAATAAAAATGTTAAAAAATAAATAAAATTTTTCAAAATGCCGGAATCAGTAGTATTCCGTAGTTAAATATAAAGAAACGCCGTCTAAATTTATGCCTGCGAGCTGGGGATCTGCTGCTGTAGTCTAGGCTGCTGAGGAAGACTAGGCATTTCCTGTCAGCCCGATTTTTTTGGCCTGGTTTAATTACCCAAGTTTCGCCGACCTCATACCCCGGCTGTGTGCCAGATCCCACTTTTTCTTACGAGCTACATGGAAAGAACGCCAATTTCCCTCAAATACCGAGAACTTCTATTCGAAAAAATTCATAACTTTTTTTAGATTCAATATTTTTGCGATCTCTTTTCTGATATTAAAACTAGAGACATTTCTCAACATTTTCATAATAAAAATAACGAAATTAGCTTAGTAGAAAATTTTCTAAGAGCTTCTAAAGTTCGTTAACTCGCCAAAAATCAGTTTTTTGTTTTAAAAAATTGATTAAATAACTTTAAAATTGATTTAAAATCAATTTAAAAGTTAAAATGTAAACTTTTGAAGTTCTAAACTCATTGTTTTTTGTAAAAAAGGAGATTTGCTTTGATTTTGGCTTTAGTTTAGCATCGATTGGATGTTCAGAGAAAGAGTTTAAAGGATCTAAACTATAGCCAAAGTTGTTTCGTTAAAAGATTCGTTAAAAATTGAAATTTCGGGAGTAAGACAAATCCGACCTTTTTTTTTGTGCACCCGGACATTTGCGCACCTTTTTTTCCGCACTTAGCCCATTAGCGCACCTTTTTTCGCGTTTTAAAAAGCTCTAAAAGCTAATATTAATCAATTTCTATTCCAAATGTTGTTTTTCTAGGTAATTTGAGGGTGTTGAATTCAAATTTTGACATAACAGAGCGTGTGGAACCAATTTGAAAGACGCTAGATCAAAACAAAACGGCTAGATCAAATTACAGAAAATTGTCGATTTTTCTCTTTGTATAACTCCGTCCATTTGTTTCCACAAGCTCTGATATGTCAAAATTTCGATTCTACGCCCTAAAATTACCTAGAAAAACAACTTTTCGAATAGAAATTGGTTAATATTAGCTTTTTAGAGCTTCAGGTTAATATTAGCTTTTTAAAACGCGAAAAAAAGGTGCGCTAATGGGCTAAGTGCGGAAAAAAAGGTGTGCAAATGTCCGGGTGCGCAAAAAAAGGTCGCATTTGTCTCACTCCCGAAATTTCTAAGAAAGCAGCTTAGGTTTTTGGTATGTAAATGTTTAAAAAATCACTTTATAACTAAAAAAGATTATAAAATCGTTTACTTGAAGAGAGTTTTGAGGATTTCTAGCCAAAATAATCCCATGTACACAATTTATTTTATTATCTTCTTTTATCTTCTTCTTTATTATATCAATTTTAGTATATTATTTTAAAAAAACTAATATTAGATTCGGATTCAGCGTGCCTGAAAACCCCTGGATGTTTATTTTCAGCTTAATTGGCGACAAAATTCGTGTTAACGCTTTTTTTTTTTTGGTTACTTGGTATATTTTAGAGTTTGAGAATCGATTTTGAAACGGACAAAGTTTAAGCATAAAAGAATTCCCAATTTTGACATGTTCAAGCTTTTTTATTATTTTAATAACATTATTCAACCAGAAAAGACAACATTTTTCTTTAAACAAAGACCATTTTCCTGACCTTGGACAAAATCCGAGTGGTGGTTTCGTCGATGCGATTAGCCTTGTCGAAGCTGAGCCCTCAGTTGTTGAGAAGATCTTCTCGAGCTAAAGGATATAAGAATATAAGAGTATAAGAATATTTCTTGCAAAAAAGACTTTCAAAAAGACTTTCAAAAAGCTTTTTAAAAGCTTTTCAAAAATAAAACTGAAGCTGATTAACTGAAAAAAATAACCAAATTAGACTGAGAATTGCTCATTTACAATAAATCAAAAATTCTGAACATAAATCAAAAACTCTGAACATAAATCTGAACATTCTGAACACCTTACCGTGCTGAGCTTTCGGGTTTTCTTCTAAAAGTTGGTTTTAAATGTTAGTTTTAAATGTTATTAGATAAATTTTAAGCATAAATCAATGTTAATCAAAGATTGTTGTTGTTGTTTGACGTTGTTTGACGGATTTTAATTGAAGATTTAAATCTTATTGAATCAATTTTAATCATTGGCTGATTTGGGATTAGATTAAGATTAGATTAAGATTAGATACATTCCGACTAGATTAAGATTAGATTAATTAGATTTAGAGGTTAAGATCTAGATTTAGATCTAGATTTAGATCTAGGTTAAGACTAGATTAAGACTAGATTAAGATTAGATTAATTAGATTTAGAGGTTAAGATCTAGATTTAG